GCAACAGTCAATTTTAAGCTAGCATCTATCATCACTCCCTGTGTTATGCTGCTTTGGAGACTGGAAACATTCTTCCTTTACACAAATTCAAAGCAGTAGAAGAGGAAAGATAGACATGATAGACAATCAGGATAACTACATGATGCCATTAGCATCTTAAGGGAAACTATCATCACATCATTGTTCCCCACCACTAACATGTCTTTCCTTGATCTCCTAAATTTGACAATAGCTCAGTTGCATTGTTTATAATTTAGCTTACAAATACTCAGTCTCCAGGGGTAGGGGTGAAGTGGTGTAGGTTTGCTCATCTTGAACTCAGTGAGGACTACCACCCCACTTGTTGTGCCACCATCAAATTCATCCCTGAGCTACTGAATTTCAGCAGTGACATTGGTAAGAATACTGCAAGTTAAGACAAACAGCTTATGGAGTGTGCAAGTTATTTCCAAGCTCAATCATGCTTCCAGTCTTTCTGTTCAGCTTGAAGATACATGTGCGCTCCATTTCAGCATGGTTTTACAGATTACAAATATAATCTTTTAATAGGCTACATGTTTTCCACATGCTTTACATGCAGAGAGTCCTAAAATCAAGTCCTAGCAGGTCCAGTTCAAAAAACAAAACAAAACAAAACAAACAGCAGAGTTTGAGAAAACCTCAGAAAGGTACTGTGAGAAGAGCAGACAACACCAAGCTAGATGGACAAATAGTCAAGTCTGGTAAAAGACAGCTTCCTATGTACCTAATTGCTTATTACTTTAAAAAAAAAGATGAAAGACTAATGAAGAATATGTTTAGCCAACAGAACAGTGTTAACATTTATCAACATAATTATAAAAAATTCCTTTGGCCCCCTACGGCAATTATTAGCAATTAAGCTCCATATCAAATAATGTAATAGGTTGTGGGTTTTTTGTTTTGTTTTGTTTTTGCAAGCAATGTGTTTTTCCCCACAGTGAAAAAAAAAAACAATTTATAGTTTTGTGCTTCCAGGCAATAGCTCCCTCAGGTCAGAAGTTTCAACAGAAAACGTCATGTTGAGCCTTGATAAAGTTGCAACTGCCATTTATTATACATGCTTGAAAAATGTGTAAAGCAAATACCGTGAAAGTGGCAAGCCCTACATTTGCACAGAGATTCCCATTACAGAGATTCTCACCCAGGAGCTCAGAATGCTTTTTCATTACCAGCACAGAAGAGCCTTGTGAAGGGCTGCACCACTGGAGTTGTAACAGGAATCTGCTCAGGTTGACTTTGTATATGGATTTTCTCCTGTCTGCACTCCCCAAACCACATATCGACTTGAGACATGCTATGTTACAACATACACCCCTTAACAGATGGCTGTGAGTACATATATCCAATGCAATGCAAATATCTTAAAATAGCATATAGAGAAATATGCAGATTTCAGACATGATTTAGGCAATGGGGAAATGTGTATAAGCAGTGCATCCAATTTCAAAAATGTGCATATTTTAAAAAACAATAACCCCAGAGAATGGATTGCAGCCCATAAAACAATCAAGAAAGAAAGAAAGAACTGATAGAAGATGGTTAGTTTTTTGATAGACACCTTGTACATAATCTAATAGGCACAGTGATTAGGGGCTGGATGTTTTTTTTGAAAAGCACTCTGTGTGCAGCCTAATGGGCAGAGAAACTACCAGTTCTCCTAATCCCTTGCAGCTCTATGGAGCTTCCTCACTCCCACCCATTTTCTCTTCTTTCTTCAAGGAAAAAAATGGCTGACTGATACCTCATTTCCCACCTGTATGTAATTGAGAACTTCTGTGTGAGGACTCTGATTTCTTGTCTAAAGCCCCCAGAATTCTGATGTGGAATTATTTAGAGCCAAGGGATCAAGTGCATACAAAGTGTAATGTTGTATATATCCAGGCTAGGCCGTGAGAAACAATCTAATGTGGGCTAAGAGTCAGGTTCCAGTGCTCCCTTTCTCTGAGGTATTAAAAAATAAAAATAAAACCCCAGATCCCATTGTAGATAGGTTAGAAAGGTTTTTTAAAAGTCTGTCGCCACCCTTGACCTCTGAAAGTCAGAGAGTACTGCTAGAAGATGATGGCTTTGGTAAGGCAAGTGTTTGGGTGTGAATTTGAAATTGTTAGTAGTGGGCCACAGAAAATGGGAAATAGCAGGAGGGGGAGGAGCAAGGAAGAAAGGAACTGCTGTGTAATACTCTCTTCTTAGCTGACTAGATGAATATGTCTGTGCAGTGTTTATGTAGCCAAGTCAGACACAGGGCCATAGAATCACAGAATTGTTGTAGAGCTGGAATTGGACCTTGGAGTCTTCTAGTCCAACCCCCCTGCCCAAGGCAAGAGACCTCATACCATTCTGGACAGATTGCTGTCCAATCTTTTTTTGAAAACCTCCAGCGATGGGGCACCCACAACATCAGGAAGCAAGCTGTTCCACTGCTTAATGGTTCTCACCATCAGGAAATTCCTCCTTATTTCCAAGTTGAATCTCCCTCTCATGAGTTTCCACCTTGTTGTTGTCTTCTTGTTGACCTTGTCTGTTTAAGGAGGGTAGATGAAAGAAATGTCCTGTGAAAGGGAACTTGGATTTGGCCAGGTCAGGCAGTCGGCAGTCTGCTTGCTGGAAGCCAGCCAAACCAAAGGGAGAGGATAGGAAGGAAGGAGAGGGCAGTGCAGAATGCAAACCAGTCAGTTAAACTCCCTCCCTCCACATCCAGTTCTGATGCTGACCAACATCCCCTTCTGCATCCCAAAGATTACTCATATGGACAGGGGCTTCTCTGTCTATATTACGATGTGGCCTGAGAAGATCTAATTGGTATGTGTGACACCACTGATGATAAGACACCAGATGCACTCACTGGCTGCATCGTATGCAGTGGGGAGAGGGAACTCAATTGACCAGATGAGCAGGATATAAACAAACAAACAAAATCTATATTACCATGTGGCCTGAGAAGAACTAAGACATCAGATGCACTCACTGGCTGCATCATATGCAGTGGGGAGAGATTTGTCCAGATGGGTGGGATATAAGCAAACAAACAAACAAAGTGGGCTGCTGGTGCTAAGCTAGCAAGGCAACATGCTCTGATCGTTAGAGATTATGATGGTGCTGGTGCTGGTGGTTCTGATGATGATTTAATGTGAAAAGTGGGAATCTCTCTGGCATAGGATCACAAGCGACTGGTTCTCGGGTTCATTTTTGAAAACAAAAGTGACTTGCCTTCTCAGTAGAAAGAACTGCTGACACACACAATTTAGTCATCAGTGCAATTTAGTCGTCAGTGCTATTATTACATAGCGTTATCAATAACATTAGTAGTTAGGATCCCAAAAGTTTTTTTTTTAATAAAAGAAATGAGGACAGTTATTTTTCTAGACTACAATTTCCAGAATAAGCCCCTCCCCCCGTTCATGTTCCTTGGAGGGCTTCTGGGAGTTGTAGCATAATGAAAACTTTTCCTTCCAATAGTTATTTGGAACATACAAACCAGATTTCCAGCATCAGTTCACTGTTACGACAACTTGAATCAGTCAGTTTGATTGTTCCTGTTTGTAGCTGGGGTGTGCGCATGAGGATGAACATTGATGCAATTGGGTTTTGGGATGCTCTATATAGGATCCCAAACTTCATGTAACTCTCATTCAAAGGAAAAACTATAACTACTCTGTTTCCCTGAAAATAAGAACTAACCTGAAAATAAGCCCTAGTATGATTTTACAGGATGCTCGTAATAAGCCCTAGTTAAGTGAAAGCCCGCCCTCCACCATTGTGCAGCAACCAGAAGATGACATGACTGTATTGGAATAAATGTAGATTGTCGTACATGGGAAAAAAATAAAACATCCCCTGAAAATAAGCCCTAATGCTTTTTTTGGAGAAAAAATTAATATGACAATTTTTGTCCAGTTTTGGGGAAACACGGTACTTAGTATCTGGCTCTCTTGCATCCCCCTAAAAGCATAGAGACTCTGTCAAGAGAACAAGTTGTAAAGAAAAGAGAATCATCAGAAGGTGCACATAATTAACAATGCCGTCTTTCTGCTTTAAAGCAGCTCTAGTGGAGTAGTGTAGGGAATTTAGTGTATGTTTGTCCATGCACAGATGCTGATCAACTCTTACATGGCTGATAAGGTAAAGGTAAAGGTTCCCCTTGACAATTTTTGTCCAGTCGTGTTCGACTCTAGGGGGCGGTGCTCATCCCTGTTTCCAAGCCATAGAGCCAGCGTTTGTCCAAAGACAATCTTCCGTGGTCACACGGCCAGTGCGACTTAGACACGGAACGCTGTTACCTTCCCACCGAAGTGGTCCCTATTTATCTACTTGCATTTGCATGCTTTCGAACCACTAGGTTGGCGGGAGCTGGGACAAGCGATGGGAGCTCACTCCGTTGCGTGGATTTGATCTTACAACTGCTTGGTCTTCTGACCCTGCAGCACAGGCTTCTGTGGTTTAGCCCGCAGCGCCACCACCTCCCTCTCCCACCATGTCACAAATATTTTATATAATACAAAAAATATGGCTTCCAGGATTTGGGAAACGTGTTTGTCCAAGCACAGATGCTAATCAACTCTTACATGGCTGAACACAAATATATAATACAAAAAAAATATGGCTTCCAGGATTTGGGAAACAAATATAGCTCAGTCCTCAGACAGGTTGGTACCAGTGGAGATCAGAGTTAGAAGAGGAAGGATTTTTGGGGAGGAGAAGGAGTAGCTGAGAAAAAGTGCACAGGTAGGCTAACTGAAATTAATTTCCTTTCTAATATATAATATGTTATAGATGTGCACGTGATGAAATAGAGTATGAGAGAAAGAGAGAGTCTAAACATGTAACAAAAGGATGAATTGGAAGAAATGCAAATAAGGGATACATCAGAATTATTATGGAGAAGTAGACATTTAAAACACTTTTGATCCCTATAGGCTGGTTTACAAATCTAGTTAAAATAATAAAAGCACACCAAATCATCATGATCATCAACATGATATCATCATCATTATCAACATAAAAGATAAAGAAAGCAGCAAACATAATCAACCAGACTGGATCAACCAATTAAAATGTATTGGGAAACAAAATGCTGTGTTGCCAACCACAATGGGAAGGTATTCCACAGTTGTGAGTGGGTGGGGGGTCATGGTGACGGAGGTTCTCTGAGTTGCTGACACAGAACACAACCCTGGAAAAGAGTCTCTCCCGATAGCCTTGAGTTCGATGCATGGTGTTTTGTTGGATGGAAGGGAAATCAGAAGAATTCATTTTATGCACTTGACCTATCACTTCATAAAATCAATTATGGCTCCTGTTTACTTCACTGACTCGATGAATACTTCATACAGCACCAGACCCAAAGTGACTTCTGTTGATGTTAAATGAATCCTGCATATTAAAGAACACTAATTATCAATTACTCAGGCTCAAGGTGTATGCTTCACTACATTTTATCACCATATTCATTCAAATGTGATTAAATGTTCACAGAAGAGTTGCTGAGCAGAAACCAAACAAGTATTAACTTTAAAAGATCTTATAAAAACCAGATCAGCAGTAATGTCCCTTCCTAAAAAGTTGTGCGGTACTTCATGAAAATAATCCATAGTAATCTATTTTTTTAAAAAAAATAATTATTATTTTTAAATGAACATGAAGCTACATATTTTATAGCAAATAAGAACAGCTTCTAGGCAGGTTCTTTTTTTTAATCTGTTTTTGCAATTTGTGGGTATTATCATACATACAATAGGGGCATCTGCCTCCTGTTTCTTGTTGTTGAAAATGAGGTCCTTTATTTCCCCCAGTGGGTGAAAGGTGTAATCAGATATGATCTGAGGTGATCTATAGTTGTAATTAATTTGAAGATGCATTTTAAATCATAGCAGATAAACAGGGAATAAGATCCATGAACTGAAGGCACAATATAAAAGAAATCAAAGAAAAATCAGTGGCACAGAGTGCTGTCCTCTGAAGATGCCGGGCACAGAGAGTGGCGAAATGTTAGGAAGAACAACCTTCAGAACATGGCCAAACAGCTCGAAAAACCCACAACAACCATTAGATCCCGGCCATGAAAGCCTTCGCGAATACAAAAATCAGTGGATTTCTGACACAGTACAATGCAATGATTAAATGAAAAGCACAAAGCACAATGACTTGCATTAAAATATCAGATAAAATTACAGTTACAGAAAATTATCCACAGTTAGCCGTTTATAAAACATTACATTTGCCCCTAACCTTCCGCCAGACTTCTTGTCGAAGCTCACTGTGTTCCAGCTACTTGGCCTGAAGACTGGGAAAGAAAGACATATTAGCTACCCATTTGAAGGAATGTGCAAGAGAATTGATCCATAGAATTCAGATGGGAAAACCAGAATGGAAAATGGAAAATAATATAGTGAAATCTCTCTCTCTCTCTCTCTCTCTGTGTGTGTGTGTGTGTGTGTGTGCGCGCGTGCGTGCGTGTGTGCGTGTGTGCGTGTGTGTGTGTGTGTGTGTGTGTGAGAGAGAGAGAGAGAGAGAGACAGAGATCTGCAAAAGTAAAAATAACATGAGAAAAAATAAACTGAAAAGCACCTGCATTTGAGAATGAATGTGAGTCCGTGAATGATTGTGGCATAGAGTCTAATTCTCCTTGTCCCAAGCAACAATTGCTTCTTGCTCCACTGATGGCCATAATTTTCGTGCATCTGGTTGACTTGCATACCTTCATACTTAAAATTCAGTTCTGTGTTGCTAGGAGAAAAGGTATGCACACAGAAGCAGCCTTTCTAAAGAATGTGAGGGCTGGACAATGCATCTCATGAAATCATGGAGGATCCACCCACCAATTGGCACATGAGTCATATGTCATTGGGGGCACATTTTTTCATTCTACAGAGCCTCAGTACCAATTCAAGTAAAGGTAATATTCCATAAATCCTGACTTTATCATTAGAAGAAACATAATGAGCAGAATTTGAAGAACATGGATGTTCTGCTCATCTAATCCCAGAGCCATAGCTCTTGCAAAACAGACTGTTATTTGAGAAGATAATCTGAATTATTTCACTTTATATACATTTTTAAAGGCAACAAAATTTCAAAATGAAGTGCACGGCTCCATATATGACCATGCAGAGATGACTACAAGAATTTAATAGCAATGGACAGCAAAAAAGAGAAAAACATGAGGATATCCTTTCATCCAAAAAAGAAAAAAAATTATGGCAGGCATGTTTATACTAAGATAAGAAAAGGTTATTAGAATATTGAGAAATGACATTTGGTTTGACAGCTTTTCAAACAGGTGTTTGGAAAGCTGCATCAGCTTTCCTGAAGAAGATGCTTATATATTGATGCAGAGAAAAGTTTCTGAGAGTAAGATAGTAGTGGTGGAAAATTGCAGCAAGGAGAAAGAAACTCAGGAAGGAAAAGAAAAACAAAGCAGTAGCACATAGAAAAACATGATATGTTCAAATTTGGGGAGTACTAATTAATATCTCAGAGAAAATGGATTGTAGATATATGTGAGAAAATGAAACACATGTACCGAAAGGCAACACAGAAATCCTTAGAGAAAAACTATTTCCCTGTGAAAGGGTCCTTACTAGAGGTACAGTGTGGCGGAGCAGTTAGTGTTACGTTAGTGTTGGCATGACCCGTATTTAAATCATCACTTGACAATTAAGCTCAGTGGGTGCTCTTGGGTGAGTCCCTATAGCTCAGTCCATTGTCCCCCACAGGTTTGTTGTCAGCACTAAAATGGGAATAAGGATCATGGACACAAGCTCAGACTTCATAGAGGAAAGGAGAGAGAGAAATGTAACTAATAATGAAAATATAAAGAGTGTGACAATTTTAGGTTTGATGATTCAAGTTGGTACATGGGTTTAACAACTGACACTGGCACTTCAAGTGGTTGTCTGAATGTCTTGGATAAAAACTGGCAATCATCAAAAATGGCAGTATAAAAGTTCAGTATTTGAAAGTTGTCAAGGAAAGATGCTACAGGGCTATGTATCAGCAGACATTTTCACCTTCAGTATGGAGGGGAGTGTTGGGCAGAGTAAGTGGCTGCAAAGTAGCCCACTATGCTACTTTGATGGACACCTGCAGCCCTAAACGTCTGGCTAGCTAAATAGCCTGATTTACGATATCTACATGGTCTCTGTAGCAAAATGCCAGAAGGTGACATCATTCCTGCCTGTCCATCACAGAAGCTCAAGGGGGAGGAGCCAGATACAGGGCAGGAGGAGCGGAGTTAGAGAGACAGTTGGAGATGTGAAATAGCAGTCAGGGGTTAGGAGAGAGAAGGTTAGTGAATTGAGCTAAGAGTGTTAGGAGAGGGAATTGAGAAGTTTAAAATATATTGAACAAGCAGGAATGAAGTTATAAATAAGTACTATAAGAGAGATATTGATCAAAAGTATATAGTAGTTTGGAATAAAAATGATTGCATACATAATCCAATCCGTGTTAATACATGATGAAGTTCAGACGTGATTTTTCTTTATGATTTACTTGACAATAAAAGAATATTTGTTAATTAAACCTCTGATTCCTAGGTTCAATAACCCTTAGTTTGGGCAGCACACGTGTATAACATAATTGGTATTAGGAGAATACCTGGTGGCAGCATGAAGGAAAAGGGGTGTGATCCTTTGTGAGGGCCATATAAACAGGGGCTACAAGGTCGATTGCCACAGTCTCTTTAGTGCAAATTTAATTACTAAGTGTGCACGTTCAAGCTCAAATCACTTGCCTCTTCATCTGCACGAAAACCCTGTTCCCAAGTCTCAATACAGTTATTACTGACAAGATGAGAATGTTGCTTGGGACTTGGGGGAACCATTTTTTACTTGTTCTAGTTCCCGCTGAAGTCTCACAACCAATACTAGGTGAATATCTGTTGGCGTGGGCAGACATTTTCTTCTGGAGTGCTGTATCTCCCAGCATCTCTCCCACGCTGACCTGCTTCCCCGATTGCCCTGACTAGTATGTCACTTTGAGTTCCTTGGAGGAAAAGGAAGATATAGATGTAACTAATAAAAAGAAATAAAAATCCAGCTGGTAGATGAGTTCTAGAAAATGACCTGCATCTTTCCCTTTTCTTTATCAATTACCCTTGACTACAATAGGAGCCTCCTTGTAATTTGTTTCATCATCCATGGGGGGGGGGTGGAGGTCAGGCACCCCTGACCAGGGTGTTGGGGTTCCAGTACATTCTGGCCCTCCTCTTCCAGAGATCTGCCAAAGAAACAGCTGGGCTGACTGCTTTTATTTGTCAACCTAAGCCTTGTGTGAACTTAGTTTGAACTGTGTATACCTCTCAGTACTATAAGACAAAGAAAGCAATGGTTTATAGAATATTGGGCTTGACACTGAAATAATCCTACAGGGCTATTGTTCAAAGGCATGGCTGGCAGTGGAGGAGACATTAGGTGCTAAGGGTTATTGTCACTATAGTACCCCAGCTGTGTGAAATGTCAGATAATTGAAAATGGTAATTATCCCACCTAACAACATAAACTGTTTCATTCTAGGAAATGTCCTGCTCTTAAATTAATAGCCATTGATCTCAGGCTGTTTCATGATGTGCCTCTGCCCTTGTCTCAAATTACTCAGCTTTCAAATCCTTGGGACCCAAAAAAAAGGTCTCCATTTGTATTGACCATTGTTTAATGAGTATTTTGCCCTTCAGTGTAATAGCTCTATCCATCTGAGTTTCTGTTGGCAAGGTTCAGCTATGTAACACTGAGAAACTCATTGGGCTCCCTGCAATTTGTAGTTCAAAGCAGGAGCACAGTAGCTATTATCTACACCAGTGTAGTAAATTTAAAACACACATACGCACACACACAAACACACCTTAACCAACTTGTTGGCAAACAGATTATTGAGAAACACCTGACTGGTTTTCTTAATGTTCATTTTCTCCTCACTTTAAAAAAATGTGGTATCTATTGTTTACTAATCTGGGGTTACTAACGATGACTTCTTAGTCTGAAACTGTTGTGCCTTCATATCTGGTTACTGAAATGGCACATGTTAGCAACACACTGCAACTCTGAAATAGCAAATTGGTACTGAACTTCTAAAGCAGAAATAGATTTTAGACTACAGTACATGGATTGTAGACATGCACAGATAGTACTGGCAGAAATTTTTTGACTTAATGCAATTAGCTTCCACAATTTGTACATTTTGCACAACTGTACAATTTTGGCTGCTATGTACGCGTCAGATCTCATGATATGACTGATGTGTTCTTGCTGTCTGCATTTTATGGAACAGATAGCCGGATACAGTGTGCATTCTCAAAGCCACCTTTAAGTTTTTGTTTATATTTCTCATCTTAAAGAAGCTCCCCACTGTTCTCTCAGCTGCTCTCTCCGGTAGCCAGGATCCCATTGCTGAGTCATCAAAATTCCAAGTTGTTTATATAGGCCAGCACCATGCAATTTTTCATTTTTTAAATGCTTAAATGCATTTCTTGAGGTGCTTGCTCTTCCACGAAATACTCAGGTTACATGCGCATCCCCAACTCAATTCTTGTCTTGTTTCAGAGACCAGTTCAGTCCAATGCAATTGTTGCTTCTTGTAGTTTGATCTGGGTCTCAAACCTAGGCACATATTCATATTTTTAATCCCCTAAAACTCCAATTTATTTGATTGGGACACTGGAATGACTGGAACTTTGGATGGAGGTTATACATCAGTATGAATCAGTCTAGTAGAGTTTCACATGAAAACATGATTCCTGGGGTGTTTATTCTGTCTGGATGAGAGTTTTTAAAAAGATGACTTTTATCACCCTTACCTCTGTTTTCTTTCCTTTCATTGCTATTGTCTCCTTCATTACTATCTCTTCCTTCTTCTCTTCGACAAAAGCACCAAAGATTCCTAACAGCCCTATTACATAGAACTACACATATAAAGGACTGCAGTTTTGATAAAATATCTGCTGTACATTAACAGCCTGTGGCTGCATTCATCATGCAGTGGAAGGATGAGATGCTCCTTCTGCTTCATCCTCAGGCCAGCAGTGTTAATCAGCTAAAATAGATGCTCATTAAAACAGGGATAAGCTTCTTAAATTTATCCATGTCCATATAATACCTAGTTTTCATGAGCTAAATATACCAAAGCTAATTGCCAGCAAAAAATTTTGTACATCTCTCAAATGTATACATTCCAAATATTTAGTCATATCTCACTTCCCAAATTTTAGCTAGTCACTTTTTAAGCACCAGGGCACATGAAAAAAAAAATCCTTTTTTCTGACCTAGAAAAACTCTTTCCAGCTATCAGCAAGTTCCAGACCAACTTTTTTAAACAGATCAAAAGTAGCTGTTCATGCCCTTTCATCCTGAGGGGTGAGATTGATAAGACTTAAAAAAAAAAAAGACTACATGATGTAACTCCCTTATGAGCACAGAAGTTGTATAATAAAGCCTGTGTCACTGTGTAGTTATGGTTCCACAGTTAAGGGGGATGTTGATTCAGGGACTTTATCTGGAAAACCCAAAGGTCAATGTTGACTTTATAGAAGCTGTTCATGCCCCCCAGGTGAACTTTTTAAACATACCTTTTTTAAAAATAAGACAGGACCACTAGGTCATAATCCCTGGCCTAAAAAGCGTTTAAGATTTATTTTTCCTTCTTTTAGACAGGTGATAAATGGCTAGTTATAGATACAATGTTAGTCACCCATCTTGAAAATGTCATATTTGAACCAAGGAGGAAAGGACAGCCACAAA